ATTTTATTATGTTGTGGTTAGCAATAGCTTAGTAATTAATCATAATGTTAGTACATTTATGATTATGATCACACCTATTATTATTATAATTCTTCACGTAATGATGATACCAGCTATAATGATAATATTAATACTACCAATGATGCGAATATTGATAACAAAAAATGATTACTATTAACATGGCGTTTTCTCTACTCCTTCCTCCCTCTCACTCACCCGGCCAAGGAGACACCTGAGACAAGTCGGCCTTAGTGCAGTTATTACTCAACGGCAGGAAGAACGTGTCGAGACCCCTTGGAGTTTTAGACCAGCCCTCAGTGTTCAGAATAAGGGTCCTCTGGGTAGCGTAGGCCGTCACGAAGCAGATGGTCAGGTGGTGAAACTGGCTTCCGATGCCGCGATTCTGAAAGGGAGCCGGTGAGAGGGATTCTGATGGAACTGGAGAAGGTGAGTGGGATTCTGAAATGGATCCGGAGGTGAGTGGGATTCTGAAATAGATACTTCTAGATACTTCTCAAATGTTCTCCTAAATACTTATAAGTCCTAGACATTTCCCAAATACCCTTCTACATCTCAAATGTTCTAGACATTAATTGCCCTTCTAAGTACTTATCACGTGTGGTGACTTTTGCTACTATGAGGCTGGAGTCCTCGCGTTGAACAATCCTGCGGGATGTAGGTTCTGTAGCAAGGTATTCATACCCCATTTTATTATTGAACATTTCCTTACAAGAAGGTCCATACAGTTAATGTGAAAAGAAATACGTCCTATTGACGCATCATTTCATGATAAAAGAAACCAATCGATTATTTTCAAGCGTTCATACTTAAATGCACGCATAGACCAAAAGACTGACCCCTCCGGTAAAAGCACAGTAAAGTTTCCTGGCGGAGTTGCAGTCCTTAGGGTTCTGGAGGACGCGGAGCCGGTGCTGGACCAGTTCGCTGAGCTCTTCGGCCTCCTTCCATCGCCATTCACTTGCCTCGTCAGCGTCCCGCAGGAGACTCAGGTCATGGCGCAGTACTCTGAAATTATAAACTTGAACCGTATTCATGTAGAAAGGTATGAATGAGAATTAATATCGGTTTCGAATATATCTTCGTCAGAAATACAGAAATACCTGTATTTCTGACGAAGATATATTCGAAACCGGTCAAATACATCTCTTGTGAAGATATTCATTCTCATTCACACCTTTCTACAGTTATAACCTTATCCCCTGCATGTACGTTCATCTAGGTATGTATTGTATGTGCATGGTGTACAATAAGTAACGTACTATAAACCTATCAGATAAGGGGTACTACCAGGAAAATGTCAGAATATAATAGGAAGAGCAAGCAGTAACAGTTGCTTATGATGAAACTCTTATACAATATATTTTCCCTTTCTCTTTTAATGACTTGTAAACCTTAGAGTTTGGCCGTTTGGTCCTTTCCAAAGCATGCTGCAAGTACATAATTTTCCTTACTGTGGGATCATACTGATATAACCAAACATGGACCAAGATAAGTCTTAACGAAGGGGAAATCTGATTTGACGTAAAATACAGAAAGCAATATATATTCCAATTTCCTATGCACCAAAATGACATGGATATTTGTGATACTGCAAAAACACCTCGCCCCTTTCTCTTCGTAATATATTTCTTTAAAAAAAAAAAAAAAAAAAAAAAATGCACATACTGATTACACAATACTTCTTTTTAAAAATTCATCTACATTTTGATTTTACAAAAGAAAAATGCTTTCATATCGCATAACTTTAAATGATGCCAGATGTTATAATATCGCAATGAAGTAAAATGCTTTTTTCAAGGAAATACGAAATGAATTGATTTTGGGGCAGTACATACTCTGAGGATGAAACTCCTCGAAAAAAATTGTATTAGGAGCTTCATGAACTTAGTGGAGTCTGTTAATGGCTGAAACAATCATAATTATCGTAATGGCATTAACATAAAAGTCAATATTAATATTAAAACCAATACGAATGTTGAAGATAGTTCTATGAATATGATTATCATTGTTATGAAATAAATGAGAAGTAAGATTAATATTCGGAAAAATAAAATATACTTTTATTCTTTTACATGGACTTTTTATGCCGCTACAACACAAAATCCGTAATCTATAATACTGTAAAAAGAAATCTGTACAGTAATCATTATTTACCAAATAAATAAGAGATGGGGTTTGTTGAAAGCTTATGGGATATGGATGAAGAGTGAAACTTCTCAAAAAGGCACACTTTGTATCTCATTGAAGTCGAAAATGTAATTCTGGCGCATTTTTTGTCTAGATAGCCCCCTTGGAGAAGAACAGTGCTTGTTTAAATCGACTTAGGGATGAAACTTATTAATGGGTGGCGGCGAACGAAAGGGACACCAAACAAACTTCCTAACCAAGCTCAGTACCAAGGAGCTAACAAAACACAGATGGCCCTGGTATGAGACACGAGGATAACTCTTTCCAGAACTAACACCGAATAATTGTTTATAAATATGGCTAATGTTCAGAGAGAGAGATGCGTGTTCTGGATATTTACAAACTCACCTGAAGTAGTCATTCATATCTTCAACGATTGTGTTCAAGTGATTAGTGTCGTTCATTTTCAGTAGTTGCAGCTGTCCACTAATGTACTGCTTTGTATAGTGAAGGTCCTTTGCAATTTGCCGAAGTAATTGTTCTTTTTCCTTTGATGATTCCAATTCTGGAAAGAAACAAATAATGTAGTAAAACAATGTTAATTATAGGCCAGTTTCTACCATTTGTTAGCATTACTTAAGTATCGCATACTACATGAAAGCAGTTATCATTTTCAAAGAAAAAAAAAATAATGACTGCAAAAGAAGAAAAGATGAGAAAAGGTGTGATTCTTTCGCCTTTCGTTTTGGAGGGGTGCGGCTTATATGCCATATGGCAAATCTGTAATACATTACTTATTACTGATACTGAGGGGAAGCAGATACAAGGGGTAAGGGATTGTTTGTTTCGAAGGTTGCACTTACCATGCTTTGGAAGAAATCTTATTTTATATCTGTGTTCATGTGCATAGAAAAACGGATCAATATCATGAGAAGTCATGATCGTTTCATTCATGATGCGTATCTTGAAATATTCAAATGCATGAAAGGAACCCTTTAGTCTTTGTTTACAAGGAAAGAGAGTTCCCTCCCTTTATGTTCGTTGCATATTAAATGTTTGGGAAAAATACACCACTAATAACCTTGGCAATTAAGAGGGCTGGTGATTTTAGATATACAACGCGTCATGTACTTTCAATCCATATTGCATTTTTTTTTAATGTATGTGTAGATAAGCATACTAAAATTTGCGTGTAGATCAATCTAATATCAAATAGTTTTACTATTAAATTCGCAGACATAGATAATCATTTTTTTATCCAATGATTACATGAATACCTTGCATGAAAAAATTAAAACTATGAATATAAATTAGCTCAAAATCTTGTAAGTTCTTTCCACTTGTTAAGGCACCTTACTTTGCTATGGACGTGTGACATATTCATCTGCAAAATTATGGACCTATGCAATGCATAGATTGCAAACAATTACACATTTTCCTAGGAAAGAGCTAGATAACTGATTAGCAGTTGTATCAATATATCCCGTATAAGAATACGGCACTATCCTGGATGTCTTAGGGAAAAGACTTCAATTACTTTGACTGAGGATATTCGTGTTTTCTACTTTACATAACTTTAAACCTTAGAGGCGGTCTTTATGAAAAAAAATATGTTCGTTGGCGGAATGCTCTGACGGTGAACTGTAACAGGGTAGAAAAAGGACCCTCGGAAATGATAATGATAATAATAATAATAAAAATAGTAATAATAATAATAATAATAATAATAATAATAATAATAATAATAATAAAACGCTTCCAATTGACAAGGTGAAGCAAGGTCAATGATACTGAGAGTCGAGGAGTTATGATACCAAAATAAGTATCAAATATTTACTTTAAAAGATATTTAGTTGATGTAGAAATGTCTAAACTTTCATTTCACTTGAGCACAAATAAATATATGACTTTTAAATGATTTGCCTGTCAAATATCCATTATTTTTCAAACACCACAACTATCTACGGTCCGAGGTTTACTCGTCAGCTCCTAATATAGTTAGGGTGTATCTGTACTTCACACACTACATTATATTTATTATTATTATTATTATTATTATTATTATTATTATAAATGTCATTATCATTATTATTATCGTTATTACCGTCATCCTCCTCTATATCATTATTATGATCATTATTCTTATTTCTTTTATTACTATTATCAATATTATCATTATTATAATTATCATCATTATCATTACTTACCATTATCAGTTATTAATATTGTTTTTACTTCTATTATCTTATTTTCGTTATTTCTGTCAAAATGACGTTCAGAGAGTAAATGGGCCTGGTTTGAATTGCTGTTTTGTTATCTATTGTTTGTAGAGGCATTTATCTAATGAGGGTAGTCACCCTGTATGTATTTACGAATGAGTATTCATGTGTCATATTAAATTTTTTGTTGATTTTTTGGCCATTTAATTTATTTATATGGGTGATTCGTGTGATAATATTGATTTATATTGTAGTTTTTGTGAGGTTTATTGGTAGAGGCCCATATGTTGGAAGAGTATATTACAAGGCTGTGCAAGTGTTTGCACAACAATAATTCTCGTATCAGTGGAGATTTTGTGTTTTGTGTGATTTATATGTTAGTGTGCCCATTACTTTCTTGTAAATGTCCATGTGTGTCTCATAAGTCATGCATCTGTTTTAGTGTATACTCCCAGATCTTTAACGAAATGCTTGGTTTAATATGTTTGTGGTGATTTTGGCTATGTTTTGCCTAGGGCCATTGTTGTCAAAATGTTGTGATACCTTTACTCACAAGGTCTTCTAATGACCTTGAGTTTTAACTGTGATTTATTATTATATATATGGGGGTAGTGCTGCCCCATTCGAATGAAGGATCGGAACCCGAGTAAATGCGGGACAGTAGAAGGCGTCCGAGTGTTATGTAGTGTAAGTGTATGTGTGAGTGCCAGTATGTGTAAAACAGAAGTTAAGAGCAAGCAGTCCCTCATTAAATTATGTTACCTCATTATGGTTAGAAGTTGTTTGCAGAACCATGTACATACTTTAAAACCTATTGTATTCAATATCCAAGACTTGTACCTATTAGAAGGGATTAAAATATATTTATTAATGTTTATCTTTAGTATAAAAAAGTTACATCATAGAAATTAACTCATTAAAATGTAAAATCCAAGGTTCCATCATTATGTTTGTATTTCCACAATAAAGTAAACATTATTCATGGAACCTTTCCCATTCTTATTCTCTTTACGAGTTCCTTTAAATTATGAAGTCCATCATTATAGAAAAAACGTTAAGGATATAACGAAAAGATAACGGAAAGATAGAAGCCATTATAATTGCTTACTAATTTATTCGTCTCCGATAAAAACGAGAGGTCTCCCTCGTTGTTATACTTTGAAAATAAGGTGTTCTCTGGTCTGGCTGGGTATCCCCCCATAACTAGAGATAAAAGTCTTTAAATATATCTGCAAAAGAAACAGAAAAGGAAATGCTAATAGCATCACGGGTGCCGTGTGCTGCCTTCCTATGGGTTCCCGGGGTGCCATATGCTTGCACACAGAAACTCACGAAAAGGCAAATGCTAATAGCATCACGGGTTGCCGGTGCGTGTGAGCATTTCCTATATGGGGTTCCCAGCGTCTGGACTATTTCAAATCTGTATTTCTATTCCCCAATGGCCATCTTTGTTAGAATGCATGGCACCGTTTGAACTTCCTTCCCTTCTGAAGCGGGACCAATTCTCATGCCACATTCGACCCATGTCATTATGCGTTCCTTTCTCTATTCTATTGACGAGGATTCAGCTATGGAATCCCGATTTCGTTTACGGGGCTGACGAAAAGCTCTTCTCTTGACTCTCGTGCAGGTCGTGCCACCATTATGACGTGGCCTCACAATAACATGAGCCCAGAAATCACATCTATTCGCCGTTCTATAAGACTATTTGTGCTAGTAGTTATCTTCCTTATGTGAGAGCTACTCTTTCTAATAGTACTGAGGACAATGAATATGTAAAGAATACCAGCAGAGCTCACGATCGAAAGTGAGGTACGTACAAGGTATCTTCTATAGAACTACTAACTATACACCCAGTTCCGGCTCTCTGTGTTAAATTGTAAATAATTAAGGATTCAGGCACATAATGTGGAGCCTCTTGCCTTTAGGACAAGGAAGAGACTGTGGTTAGTGTGCGCACATGACGTGACTCCGCTGGCCCACCAAATCACGACAGAAATAGTATATTGTGTTCTGTAAGTCTCCTAACATGTAAGAGCTTTGCGGAAGCGAAGTAATTCTATCTTCCTCTAAGCGAGCTCATCTCTCACGTAAGAAAACGCGAGTGTGAGTGCCCTTTCCCAGCCACACTGGGCAAAGTGACAACGCTTTTTGTGATCAATGACCTAGAATATCCCGCGCTTGATGGATATATATGTGTATTATATATCTAGGTCCTGAAGTGTGGCGAGCCCTTGGTTGGCACGCCGACAAAGAATCTTGCGATTTGCGTCGTCTCGTGCGTGCTGCGTGCGTGGTCATACTCATTTTCACCCTTCCCCTGTCATCCTTAGCTCCTCTCTACTTCTGCTTTTTCTCTCTTTGATCTCTCTATACGCAAGTACTGCTGATAATAATAACACACACAGAATCTTACAGACCACATCTCGACACTGTGCTTATGGTTCCTCGCAATGTTGGCCATGCATCGTCTATGTCTGGTCGCGCTGCTATGCAGGTCCCCCACCGGCCAATACATAAGCCGCCATCTGCGTTCTCTCGCTGTTCAGAATCTAAGGCGTACCCAGCTTGATCGTGTGGTGCGCACCCCTCTCTCCTCTCGTTAACGGCGGGTACAGTGTCGGAAGAGGTCGCGCGGGTTACGCGCACGCCCAGGCCCACGATAAGTATGTCGACTGGTGTCGTGTTGAGGCAATAGCTAGACACACATTCATCGTGCAAGTCAGACGCGTCCAATTTAGTCGCACAGGCCGGGCCCTTCCCCCTCTTTTTTCTCCCCACCCATATAGTGGGGGGGGGGGCCCCAGGGGGGGGGGGAAATTCCGAAGGGGGGCTCTTCCGCCAACTAAGCTTATAGCGGGAAGCTAACGAAGACTCGCATTGAGCTGACAGAGGCTTCTCTTTCCCCTCAAACGATATCTTCCCCGGGGCGGGGGTGGGATCCTTTATCCTTAATCTTTGACCTTTCACTCACTCAACTCAGAGACAGCCTGACTTACGGACCGCTCACATTCCGGGTGGCTGCGCCCTTGCTAGAGCTTGCTACCGTGGGTACCATCAGCACTTTCGTCTTGTATCACGTTTATTTCTACTCATAAAGAGTCAGCCATATATTTAGTATCACTTTTGCCAACCATTATTAATATAGGTTACGACCTTTAATATCTAGTGGCAGGGTGGTTGTTGTCCACGCAACATTAAGAACTTGCCTCTGAAATCCACCCACTATTACCAACGATGTCTCCAAAACCACATAAGTTCACATTATGGACGAATCTCTTCTCTTTCCTTTCTTCCTCTGCCATATTTGCAAACAGTGACAATAAAAAATCTTTATGTTAGCAGGAAAAGGTGACACTCTCTGCCACTCATCTTGAGTAGAGGTCATATCTTTTGAACAGATGTGAGAACATGACCTCTGATCACAAACATAAATATCACATTAAATAATTCATTCTCTCGTTTTTAGATATTTATATTGTTTCAGCTACAATGAATTCAATATTTCAATATTTGTAACTTCTCTCAGAATGAGAATTTTCTTGTGATTTGCAATTACTTTACGTACAAGAAGAGATTGGAGTAGAGAATGTACTCTATTCTCTTCTCTATGTACAAGTTTTGTTGATGGATGTAAAAATTCACTCATTTTTGGACTCTAGTTACAAGAGTCCCCCCCCCCAACCTCAATTTCGCTTTCATCCCAGATCGCGGGCAGGAAGGAAATTGGTTGTT